ACAAATAGAACCACCATATGAGACTCATGTGGTGCAGATGGTCATGTAGGATCTGGCTCCTGGGTTTGTACCCAAAAGATAGGAAAGTGCTTAATTGGAAAAACACTTGCACATCCATGTTTATTGTGGTATTATTCACAATTGCTAAGACATGGAACCAACCCGAATGCCCATGAACAGATGAATGGATGGAAAATTTGTGGAACATATACACCACAGAACACTACTTAGCCACAAAATAAAACCCTGGCATTTGATAGAAAGTAGAACTATATGGAAGATTTACTGCTAAGTAAAGGAAGTCAGATGGTGAAAAAGAGGCATTGTATGACCCCACTGAATATATACTGAATGTCCTCACTCTATGGCAGAAACTGAATGATTGGATAGTATAAAAGCATGGTAAGCTAGGACCAGCAGTTGGCGTAATGGCTATGTCACTGGACTCCCATGTATTTGACCACAGGTCGAGTCCCAGACCCGGTGGCTTAAACTCATGCCAGGTGCATATACGTACATGCACAAGATCCTGAGAGGAGAATGGAGGAGAAGGGACTGCAGCGTGACCATCCCCCCAGGGGGTGATTTCTTGCTTTCTGTCTCTCTTTTTCTCTCTGTCTTTCTGGTGAGTGCAGGCGCCATATTGCCAAATCCTATTTAAAAAAATAATAAAAGCGTGGTGAGCAATGATGATACCGGAGATAATGAGGGAGGAGGGTGGGAAGTGGGGGAGCATACAGGAAGGGAATCAAGGGGTAGATGAAAGAAGCAAAACATTTAAGGGATCCAAAATGGAAAGAAATCTGTTGATTATTATGTTTATGGTAATGTCTTTGACTGGACTGATAGGTAGTGTATTCATGATAGGAAAATTCATTTGGTATGCTGTAGTGATACACAGTGATTAAATGTAAAACAATAAAATAAAAAAATGATGTATCACACCATTAGTCTAGCCCATGGCTTAGTGATTGTGGGAGCCAGATCCTACATGACAATCTGCACCATATGAGTCTCATGAGAAGCATGTTGGGCACATGTGTGTGCATGCTCAAAATCCAAAAGGGGAGAGCAATGAAGAAGGAGTAATTGCAGCGTGAGCACACTCCATTGCGGGGGGATGTTTTCCCCTCTCCCACTCTCTCTCTATTTCTCTCTCTAAGTAGACATGCTCTCTGGCAAATGCAAAAAGAATAAGCCAGACTCTACTATTACAACTTTCCTATAAGTTTCAGAAATATTTGATTGAATGAATCTAATTAAGACAAAATAAATATGCTGATATTAGGGAATTGCTATGGTCCCTGAAATTACGAAATAATAGAATTCAAATTCTGATTTTTTTCACTCACTATTTTACTTTAATTACTTTTTAAAAGAATTATTTTATTTAACTTTAATTATTATTATCATTGTTATTTTCCAGTTTGATCAGAGAGAGACAGAGAGAGAAAGAAGAAGTGAGAAAGCAAGTCACCAAGTCTGAGACTTGAACCATGGTCGGCCATGTGGGAGTCCAGCATCCTTAACCACCATGCCACTTGCCAGCCCCATAACTTTAATTATTTTAACCTTTCTCTCTCTCTCCTTCTCTCTCTCTCTCTCTATTTTAATTTGCCAGAAGCAACATGTGCTCCCTGGAGAGAGAGAGACAGAGTGGGAATGTGAGCAAATAGCCCCCATGAAGAACGGTCACATTAGAATTTTTTCTTCTCCATTTCTACCTTCTTTCAGGATTTTGGGCATGCATGCCAACATGCCTGGTGTGTTTTTCAAGCACTAAAGTCAGGATTCCAACTGTACAGTTGACCATGTGGAATCCAGACCCAAAACTACCACAGGCTGGCTGTTTACACACACACACACACACACACACACACGTGCGCATACACACACGTGTATGTGTACACACACACATGCACACACATATACATATATACACATATAATTTGCACATATATGTATATGTGTGCATATATAATTAATATATATTAATTTACTGTATATCTATGTATATATAATTAATATATATAATTAATATATGTATTAACTATACACACACACATATATATAAAAATAATATTTTTAACTGTAGGGTATGTGTATTCCTTAGACAGACAGAGTTAGAGAGGGGAAGTGAGAAATCAAAATTAATGCCCCGGGGAATATGGCTTTGTCCAATCCCTCCTCCATTCTACTCTTGGAATTATTGGCATGTATGCATGCCCAGTGTGATTTCAACCTACCAGGTCTGGGACTCAAACCAAGGTTAGCCATGTGGAAGTTCAATGCCTTAACCACCATACCATACACTGGCCTCAGTGTTGGTCCTATTTTAACATCATTTAAGTGCTCTTTTATAAAAAAAATAAAAGTAATATGAATGAGACTTAAAGATGTATGTATTTTAAAACACCTATGTCGGAGAACATGTACAAGGCGAAGTGTATTTAATGTCCCAGACAATGTATGTCATTCATTTATTAGTTACCATAAGAGCAGTTTTGCTACAATAGGACATGTCCTTTCTATGTATAAGAATCCTTTTCCTATGTCTTTACATGCACTGTTTCCCTTCTTTGACTACCTTCTTCTCTCTCCACCTGTTCAAATCTCAACTCATTTTCTAGAGCTCACTTTAGCATATACTGTTGCCAAAAGCCATCAAATACATAGAAACCCCCCATGGTATCTCTATTCTCTAAACTCATAGCACTGGGATTTGAGTCTTTCCATTTAACTCTTATCTGATGTACAAGCATCTGTTTCTTAACATGCTATAAAAGCTTAGTAATGTGACTCAGGTAGGTGTGTAATAATAAACTAGATTGATTCATTGCATTGATTTTTAATTAAGAAAAATATATATGCCTACCCAGAAATGCTATAGTTCTTAGCCTTCCTTGTTCTTATGTGTAACAATTAGATTAAGTGATAAAGGTTTTGACAACATAGTATGAACAGAAATGATGGGTGCCAATTCTATGCCGGCACCTTGAAACATTGGGCACACCTCTAGACACTCTATTTTCTCCTCAGATGTGGGTTTGACCATGCAGATAAACATAATGCCTAAGGGGATGACAGAGAGACAAGGTGGGAGGCATGTCTAGGCCTTAAAAACTTCAGGGAGTAGATCCATCAGTCAACTCAGAATGCTTAACTTGGACTGTTTTCATATATATACATATGAAAACAAGAGACCAGTAGATGGCATAATCATACATCATTGCACTCCCACTTGTTGATGGTGGTTTGAGTCCCAAAGTTAGCAGCTTAAAACTCATACCCACTGGGTGCATATACATGCATGCCCAAAATTCTGAGAGGAGAATGGAGGAGAAGGGATTGCAGCATGGCCATCCTCCTTGGGGTGGTGATTTCTCACTTTCTGTCTCTCTGTCTCTGGAGTGAGCACAGGCACCCTATTGCAAAAATGTCTCTCTCAAAAGAAAAAAATATATATATATATGAAAACATGAAATACGTATCTATATATGGGAACTTCAGAAAGTTTGGGGAGATTGGAATTAACATATGAGTTTATTTTGGTAAAAATAAAACAAAAAGAAATTCATCCACAGTGCTTTTATAATAAACATCTTCATAAACTTTTTTGAAGATTCCTTCCTATGTCAATATAAGCTCTCCAAAGGTAAATATTTTTCCATCATCTCAAAACCCATCTCTAAATCTACACACTAATTATCAAGTGATTGAAACAATACCTACTTGTTCAATTAAAAAATGTCTTTTTATAAACCTCCTACTAAATTTTAAGCACTGGCAATTAAAATGACTCAAATATACCTGCTAAAGTCCTAAGAATTTTTCTGACCCAGATATTAAAAAAAAATCTTTGTCAAATATTTTTTGTAAGATGTGTTTAATTTTGAATATTTCTGTACATTTCCTCATGATTAAAAATATATTAATTAGTATAATTTTTCCCCAATTTATTTGTCATAAAAGATGTAAGTCCAGTAAAGGCTGATTTATATAGCATTTATTAACCATAGATTTCCATGAAGTTGTGAATATACTCATTTTAATCAAAATGATGATTAATATAATGTTAACGTGAGAACCTAAAAATTCTGGAGTTACTTTTGTAACCAAAGGTAGGTTTATATTATGATTAGGCTTACTAGAATTCTTCTTTTTTTTTTTTTTTTTTTTTTTTTTATTGTCAGAGGGAGTGCATAGGCTTTCCAGGGAGAGACAGGCTGAGGGAGTGGGACAAAGCACTCCCCTTGGGAGGTGATCATATCAGTCCCTTCTCCTCCATTTATCTATTCTGTTGAGATTACAGACATGCACACACTCAAGTTTAATGTGCTTTAGTCCACCATGACCAGGATTCAAATCATGATTAACCATATGGAATCCAGGTCTCTTAACCACTAGTCCACAGGGTTGGCCTAATGCTTACTATAACTCTATCTTCAATCATAACGGTAATTATTGCTTTGTGTGGTCCTATATCAAACACATATGCATTTTATTTAAGCTTTATAAGAACCCTGAGATTTAGGTATTAGTTTTTGCCTGCTGTAAATTAAGACACCTCTAGTCTTGCATAGTTGGGAAATGACAGGATCTAGAGTCCAACCCGGGTGTGTCATTACAGGCCTAGGTGCTTAAGAATCACTTACAGTCCACAGGTATCAGAATCAGATGAACTAAAGTTATTAGACTTAATCTCTTAGGGAATCTCTACCATTTTAGGGTCCAAGATCTGTTTTTAAGATTATGAAAAATGTTGATTAAGTCAGTTCTTTGTGGAATAGTTTGATAAAATAAAATTAACAGGAGACTTGTTTATAGATAAGAATGACAATTTATTATTTCACCCTGAGAAATGATACTGCCAAGCTGACTTCAGTACTCATGATTAGTTGTTTCTGTGTTTTTGATGCCATGTTCTATGTTAGGCTGTAAAGTTTGAATCCTTTGAGAACTGTGGTTGTTAACAAGGAATGACTAGGAGAAACTGGCATACAGATAGGTGTTTCAAAAGTGCTATTTTTGGATGATGCTGATAATTAATATTTCCTTAGAGAAATGTATCTTCTTAATTTGCAATAATCGTGCCTCGGATAAACCTCATTGGCTACGATACTGCCACCGCGCAAAGCTAAATAAAAAAAATGTATCTTCTTTAGCATTCATGTTTCTCAGCTAATTGTAAAGTATATTGCCTTTCTATTATTCCTTTCTTCCAGCATTTAAATTGAAAAATACTCTTCTCTTTATAATAAAATAATTGTCCCTTAGTCTAGCAGGTATAAAAATGCAATTTCCTTAGATCGTTGAAAGCAGCTCTATTCTGCAGGTTCAGATACCCACTAACCAAACACAAAGGACTGATAAATACATTCAGAATATCAATTTATCCAGTACTTTAAAGAAAGAATACAATCCCTACAGGTACAGCATATCTTTAGTATGTATGATTAATACATTCTCCTCTTCTATGAAAAATAACAAACAGAAACAAACCAAAATCATAAGGCTGCTGGATGACAGTATAATAATAAAATTCCTTAGTGAGATGTAGTAAATGCTTAATGGCACCAGTGTAAGGTAGCTTAGTTGGTCCCACGCATACGAGATAACCTTGACAACGCACTAAATTTTGAAGTACTCTGAACACTCAGGGTTGGACACTGTCATCATTTCATTTATTGTTCTCGTCTTTGTTTTCTCTCAGGAGGGCCACAGAATTTTCCAGCTTTTAATGTTTTGCAGTCTTTCCTAATGTTAATATTATTTTCCAGTTAATACTGTATGATTAAATTTCTTAAGGTGCTTTCTAACCAATATGGTGATGAGTTCATGTTTAACCCTCAGAATATCACATATTCCCTTTACTCCCAAGGTCTTTCTGAACAATGCTATGCATCCTACATGTATTGCTATATAGAGACACTATTGCATAGCCTTCAGGTACAAAGACTACATCAGATTGCCTGGATTCAAGACATTATTACACTATTTGTAGTGCAAACTTGAGGCATCAATCCTTTTGTTCTAAATTTTCATTATCTGCAAAATGGAGGGAATATAGTATATCAAAAAAAGATTCAATAAAAGTGATGTTAACGAAGGAACTATTTACAAGTATGTGTTTAAGGTTAAAATGGAAAGCAAGGGATGAAGAACAAAGAAACTATACAGGAAAGCTGTTACCACCACTAAGATTAATAAAACAAGTTAGGCAACAGTGTTGTTAGATATCAGTGAGAATGAACTGCAGAGCAGGGCCACGTGGAATGAAATGTTTTCAAGGAAAGATGCAGACGGAGTGACCAAGCAAGAATGGACCTGAAGAATACCTGGACTACTCTATCTTTGCTCCCACATAGCTCTTGCTATTGCTCCCCTCTGACTGGACAGAGTACCATGAGAGGTAAACAGTGGATCAGGTGTGAAGGAGAGAATAGAGAATAATCAGTTCATGAAGTATTAGTAGCTACCTGAGTGTTTGGTATGAGAATAAATGGTCTAATACAAGTGAAATGCTGAGGAGTCTATCAGGTACATAAATATCATATATTATCTTAAAAATTATTGTATAGAGGAAATGAATGTTGGCACGGAGGTAAAATGTTATACTATGAGAGGCAGACCACACGGGAAGATTTCAGGTTCATGTCTGGAGACATCCTTGAGTATGTTTGGCCCACACATGCCCATGATCTGGGCTGCCTGAAGGCTGGAGAGGGGATCGTGGCATAGATATCCTGTTAGAGATACTATATTTCTGACTCTCTTTGTCTCTGTAGAAAAAATTTCAAGCAATAATTATGCTTCTAACACAAATCTACCTTGCAATAAAGTAAAACTTAAAAATAAAATTATTCTATAAAATAAGTAGGATTGTGTGATCCTAACTTAATAAATATAAAATATAGCATATTTGAAAACTAACATAAAACTAATTCCGGTGATGCAAGAAAAGCACAGAAATCTGAAAAATATGACATTTCATCCTAAGTAAATCTCAGCAGTTCAATAGGCAATGAGTATGTAATGAGAAGTGAGAGAAGGTATGAAAAACATGATTAAGGAAATAGCCAAATCCAGTGGAGTAACATTGCGTGGCATATTTGGAAGTCTTAAAGAAATATTAAAGAAAGAATAATGGTTGTTAACATGAAGCAGGAGACAGGAAGAATCAAATCATAGGTTTGTATAAAATTATACTTCATGAGATAAGATTTGCTGAGAAGACAAGATCAGGCCTAGGTAGGATTATGATGATTGGGTGAATCAATGTGGTGATGTCCTTACAGATGGACTTGAAAACACATAAGATCAACAAACTAGAAATGTGATATTTTGGGATGAAAATCATGTTTATCAATGATTTTTCACTACAAATTAGTTATTTAAACTCAAATATCACTGAATTGAATCAAAGAGGACCTGGTGCCCAAAATCCCAAGAGGAGAGAATGGAGGAGAAGGGATTGCGGCGTGACCATCCCCTCTGGGGGGGTGATTTCTCGCTTTCTGTCTCTATGTCTCTCTCTGTCTGTCTGGCGAGCGCTTGCGCCCTATAGTGAAAACCTCTCCAAATAAAGAAATAAATAAATAAAAATACTACATAACGAAAGATTGAATGGTGGCATATCAGTAAAATGTGACTTTTATGAGGCATATCCACATGAGAAGCTTCCTGGTACAAATCCTGTGCCCATGATCTGGGCTGGCTGAAACTACCTGGTGATGGCTCACAGCATCAGGGTTCTATCAGAGATGCTCTATTGTTTTTTTTTCTCCCTCTCATTCTCTAATAGCTCATTATTTTAATTTGTATTTTCCTGATGATTACAGATATTTAGTATTTTTAAAACATAATTTGAAATTTTTAAATTTAAATTTTTAGAATTTGTTGACCATTTATATGTCTTTCTTTGAAAAATATCTATTCAGGTCATTTGCCCATTTTTAAATCACATTAAGTGTGTTCTAGCTACTGAGTTATTCAAGTTCCTTATATCTTTTGGATATTAGCCTCTTATCAGATTTATAATTTGTAAATATTTTCTCCCAATCCCTGGGTTTTCTCTTGTTAAACATTTCCTCTGCTGAGCAAAAGCCTTGTAATTTGTTGTAATCCTATTTGCCTTTTTTGACTTTTGTTGTCTATACTTTTGGTGTCATATCCAACAAATCTTTGCCCAGTCTTTTTCTCTATATTTTCTTCTTGTAGTTTTACTCTTTCAAGTATTATATTGAAATCTTTAACCTAATTTTAGTAGGTTTTGTATATGGTGTGAGATAAGGACCCAATGTCATTCATCCTCATGCAAATATCTAGTTTTGCCAACACTTTTTTTATAATTAATTAATTAATTAATTATGATTTCTAGTTTACGTATCTCCTATGCAAATATTTGTGGGGTACAGTATTTTACTTTATCTATCTATCTATTTATTTATTTATTTATTTATTTTGTCAGAGGGTGTGTGTGCTTGCAGGAGAGAGAGAAAGAAAGAGAGAGAAAATATGAGAAACCAGCTGGTCTATGGGGAATGGTCAGGCTGCAATCTCTTCTCCTCCATGTATCCCTCCCTTTGGGATTTAGGACAAGCACACATATGCTTCTGGGGTGTTTTGCAAGGCACTGGGTCTGGGACTCTAAGTGCATATTCAGCCATGTGGTGTCCGACTACCTAACCACCATGCCACTGGTTGGCTCTGGTAGGTTTTTTTTAAAGCATGCATATACAGTGTGTAATAATCAAATCAAGAATATACACATATTCATCTTCAACAGCATTGAAGAAGATGCTGTACACATGTATCAAACATGTTGTGCACTTTTGATAATAGTTCTGATGTTTTTTAAAAATATGTATTACTGGGAACCAGCAGTTAGCGTAATGGCTATGTCGCTGGACTCCCACGTAGTCGACCGCAGTTCGCGTCCCGGACCCGGTGGCTTAAAACTCACACCGGGCGTGTGTGCGTGCATGCCCATGATCCCGAGAGGAGAATGAAGGAGAAGGGATTGTGGCGTGACCCTCCCCCCTTGGGGGTGATTTCTCGCTTTCAGTCTCTCTGTCTCTCTCTGTCTGTCTGGCGAGTGCACACGCCCTGTAGCGAAAAAAACTCTCAAAAAAATATGTATTACATTGTTTGTATCTTTTTTTTTTACTCTTCTGTGGTTTCACAATTTCACATTCTCTTCACCATCTATATGTATTCTTCCAACACTAGTTTTTGAAGAAACTGTACTTTTCCCACTATCTGTTCTTATTACTTTTGTCAAAAATTGATTGACTAACAATATGTGGGCTTGTTTATAAGTTTTCTATCCAGTTCCATTGTTTGATGTGTCCTTTATAATCCATGACCATGCTGTCTTGGAATTATCTCTGTTTGTTGATGATATAATATTATATATGTAAATGCTTAAAGACCTCCATCCCCCCAAAATTTATCATTTACCAAGGTTTTAAAATGTTAGAATTTAGTAAAGTTGAAGTTATAAATGAACATTTAAAAAGTGACATTGCAATACATCAACAAGAATCTATTTGAAAAGGAATTAAGATAACTATAATTTTTAAGAACATCCAAAAAAAGGAAATACTTAAGAATAAATATATGTGTATATATATATATATATATATAGCTATTATAATCAACATATCATGGTACAGGAATAAAAACAGAGCTATTGACCAATATAAAAGGATAAAAACCTCAGCTATTATTTAATTTCTTAACAGCCAGTATAAATGACTTGACTGTACATCTTACAAATGCCAGTGTTATGTTTTGAATTTGATTTACTATCCAAACATATCAGACAGTATTACATAGATTTCAAACTTTCAATTTATTAGCAAATGATACTCCACAGAACTTAGAAAATCTTTTAGAGTATGCTCTGTTCGTAGTAATATGAACAGAAAAATGTCCAGAGTAGTTTTGTTTTTTCTAAAAGTTGTTTCTGCAGTGCACTTACAAGTAAACCAAGAGGGCCAAACTCCAGTCATTGTCTAAGAAAAATTAAGTCTGTCCATTACAGCAATAATGTAGCTATAACAAATAATGTGAATCTTATTCATAAGACTCATGAATCTTCCTATAAAGTAGTTGACCACTAAGAAAACCAGTAA